ATCACTGAAGTGGAGGTTTTCTCAGCTATTAAAAGACTAAAAACAGGTAAATCCTCCGGCACAGACGGTTACACTTCAGAATTGTATAAAAGTATGCAGGAGGAACTGACATTACTGAGAGCATTTAACTGGGTAATGGAGAGAAAGGTGATTCCCTCTTCGTGGAGTGAGGCCGTCATTTCTTAGCCTGACGTAGTCCTACTCAATTCTAGTCAGAATGAATCTGATGCTGCTCCATAGAGCTGTGATTATGGGGCGTGTTTCGAACAAACCAGGAAAAAAAATGCCTCTGCACTCAATTGGATGGACCTACAACCAATAAGAGCAACGGAGTGCGTGACGTATGTTAAGCAACGCATAGTTGTTGTCAACAAAAATCAAAGCGTGCAGTTGCACGCCTAGAATAAGAAGATGAGCCTTGATCGCGTTTCTCTGTTCCTCTTTTAAAATTAATTTGCTGTCGATATCTTCTAGAACAGACCTAATAGCAGAATCTACTCACCTCAACTCTCCAGCGGCAGCCATTGCTGTTGTCACCCAAGCGCGCTTTGGTCACGTGGTTGATTACGTTACTGTTGATCAACTGTCCATCATCGTATAAAGCCCGCCCTGACAATTTGATTGGCCCGCCAGATATTGTGCTAGCATACTGGCGCTACTATTGAGCAATGCCAGACCGAACTTCCTGACCTCAAACGTTGTGGGCGGGACTAAGTTCGGAATGGCACCCAGGTTAATCATTTCTATAATTCCAAAGGAGAATAGAGATAAATTAGAGTGTGGTAATTATCGGCCAATTAGTGTGTTAAATATTGATTATGAATTGTTCACCTCCATTTTATCTAAAAGATTGGAAATAATACTGCCAGACCTCATTAACAAAGACCAGACAGGCGTTACTAGCCAAAGGCAAACCCAATATTACACTGCATATTATGAAGCATGTTAATCAGCATAAATTGGAAACTTTGATTTTGAGTTTAGACGCTGAAAAAGCCTTTGACTCGGTACGGTGGGCTCTTCTATATAAAGTTTTATCAAAATGTGGCTTCCATTCAAACATAATTGATAGTTTTGCCGCACTGTACGGCAAACCTATGGCCAAGATCAAAGTAAATGGGGATTTGACTAACAGTTTTACTCTACGGAGAGGGTCCCGACAGGGCTGTGGCGCCTCTCCACTCTATGGATCTAACTATGGATCCTTAACTTCAAAGGTAAAATCTGATTTACGGTGGAACACTGTTCCCTGCTTAAATTTATACTCATGAGTGGAATCAATTAGAATGAACATTCTCGCTGGTATGCTCTACCTTTTTCAGTGTTTACCAGTTAAAATACCTCAGAAATATTTTGATGATTGGGACAGGATGTTGGCGAAATACATATGGCAACATAAAGGAGCCAGGGTTAAATACAAAACACTTCAATTAGTTAAAGAGAAGGGGGGATTGGGCCTTCCTTGCATTAAGGAGTATTACTATGCTGCCCAGCTTAGACCCTTAATCTGTTTAAGTTCGCCAACCTATTCTGCAGGATGGAAGGACATAGAAGTTGATATTATAAAAGATGTGCCTATCATGGCGCTATTGGCAGATACTAAATTACAGAAGGCCAGACCTTATACTTCTGACTTTATGTATGATTCCTGCTAAATTCCTGGAATGAAATCATTAACAGGTGTAAACTGGGTGAACTGTCCAATATTTAAAGGTGGTTCCCTACGACTCTGAGTTTGTGCCAAATAAATAGGATCTGTTTAAGAGATGGCTATCTAAGGGCTTAACAACCTATTATTCCTTCATCCACAAGGGGGCATTCTTGAGTTTCGAGACCCTACAGCAGGAGTGCCCAACCTTTTTTAAACCAAGACTCACTCACTCACTCACTCACTCACTCACTCACTCACTCACTCACTCACTCACTCACTCACTCACTCACTCACTCACTCACTCACTCACTCACTCACTCACTCACTCACTCACTCACTCACTCACTCACTCACTCACCAAAACTACAGAAAAGAGCAGAAAGATCTCCAGACAAAGGCTGTGCAGTCAAAACATCTAAATAATCTAATCTTTTTTTAAACTACTTTTCAAGGTAGCACTTTAAAAAAAGATGATTTTGTCCAGAGAGCTGTTCCAAACTAAATTTCCTTTTTGTTTTACAATTGTGTAAACAAAAAGAGAAATAAAATCTGTCTAAGATGACTTGAAAGCAGGAAGAAGAAAAGGGAAGTCCACTATTTCAGAATGATAAACTTCACTGGGCGTTGGCAGAGAAACTGGCAGATGGATTAAAATTCAACAGGAAAACAGATAAAAATAGGAAATAAATACTGAGTACAAACTATGTGGATGTGAAGATGTAACATACAGCAGAATGGGTTGTTGATTGTTTCAGAAACTCTTTAATTTTGGGCAAAAGTTCCTAAAATCTTTGGAAGAATCTACTGCGGCTCAGCTACCTGACGTCGGCGTGTAGCAGCAGATCAGGGCGGTCTGCACCTGCCTCCTCCAGCTGGGCGGAATAAACGCCTCTGAAAACTCCCGGCCCGAACAGAGCAAGCGATCTTCATCTAACATCCATGAAAAGTTTCAGACAGCTTGAACAGAGCAACTAATCCAGCAGTGCGCCCAACCATAGATGGAGCCCCATCAGTTGGGATAGATGTCATTATCTCTGCAGATTCCTCATCGCGCTTTAGAGTCCCTGGTAACCTAGCAACCGTGGCAAACCATGCCCAGCAATCAGCATGCAGAAAAAAAGGTTCCCTGCATACGTTTTATTTTTCATTTTATTATTATGAAACAGACGTTGGCCTCTCGTGATCAATGATTTGATTAGTGTTTTTTAAAACTTTTTTTTTTTTTTGTTGTCATAGCCATAAATAGGTCAACTTCTCGCGATCGACTGAAACTCCGCCCACAATCGACTGGTAGGTCGCGATTGACTGGTTGGGCCCCCCTGCCCTACAGACTAAATATGGTTTAGGTCAAGATGATTTTTACAGGTATTTGCAGGTTAGACATTATTTCCACCAAAATTTAAAAACAGTATATAAAAAGATTTAGGTTTCTTACAGATATTCTTAACTTTAACCAGGTCTCATTCTCAGAATAATATAATTTCTAGATTATATAAGGGCATTCAGCACAGCAGGTATAAAGAAGAGGTGGGAAAAGGAGGGAAATATGGTTATCTCACCTGACAGTTGGAGCAATATAAGCCAGTTTCAGTGGACAATAACAGGGTGGAACACATGGTGAGGGTTCAAGAACATGATCAGGTACTTTATTACGCCTATCCAGAAACGGCATCAAGGTGGCGGGGACGCATGCTGGAGACTATGTGGGGTCACTGGTGCCAAACACTTCCATATTTTTTGGGAATGTCACAATATAATTAATTATTGGACACAGATAGGTGAACATTTTAATAATGTATTGGTACTAAAATTCCCCTTAAATTTGAAACACTGTATTTGGTGATGATCCTGTAATAAACTGGAATAATAATGATAAAAGATTACTTGGTATGTAACTTATTGCTTAGTAAAATGTAACTTATTGCTTAGTAAAATGTAACTTATTGCTTATTAAAATGTAACTTATTGCTTATTAAAATGTAACTTATTGCTTAGTAAAATGTAACTTATTGCTTAGTAAAATGTAACTTATTGCTTATTAAAATGTAACTTATTGCTTAATAAAATGTAACTTATTGCTTAGTAAAATGTAACTTATTGCTTATTAAAATGTAACTTATTGCTTAGTAAAATGTAACTTATTGCTTAGTAAAATGTAACTTATTGCTTATTAAAATGTAACTTATTGCTTAGTAAAATGTAACTTATTGCTTATTAAAATGTAACTTATTGCTTAGTAAAATGTAACTTATTGCTTAGTAAAATGTAACTTATTGCTTATTAAAATGTAACTTATTGCTTAGTAAAATGTCACTTATTGCTTATTAAAATGTAACTTATTGCTTAGTAAAAAGCAGAAAGTGGCTGAGAGTGGAACCTCCAACTATTGAGGATTGGATCAATATAAAACACAAAATATATGTGATGGAAAAGTTGTCTTTTTCCCTCAGGATGCAAAATGACATGTTTTATAAAATCTGGACTAAATGGACATAAAACCCTTACAGTCAGATTTTGTATGAATGATACGTTTCTGTACTTAAAACCTTGTCTCATGAATATTGGCATGCTTCCCATATATGTTTGTTTATATATGTCTTGATACTGTGAAAACGTTTAAAAATTATAAAAAAGAACTAACAGATTGTGCAGAGTGGGAGGACAGAAGTTACTGAATTGATCCTTTTTGAAATGTTGTTTGATTCCAGAAGGACATCAGCAGTCCCTCTCTGTCCTGTGAACCCCTCTGGGCCGTCAGGGTGAGTCACTATCAGCTGCTATCTTCTATAAATCTGTTTAAAGAGGATCTATGTGTGGATTAAAGCCATGTTGAATAAAGGTTTTAACACTGATCATAATTCTTACATTTCCCCATCATGGGGCAGTGAAGGATTTACACATTTTATAAACATTTGATTAGTGATGGTGAGATGAAGCCTCATGAGGCATCGAACCCTGCGGCTTCTAAGAATCATTTAGTGGACATTCTTGTGAACATGACTCCGCCTACTGGTGCAGTGCAGAACTATAGTTAGCAATGGAATCTGGGATGTTTGCTTTTTTTTTCTTGTTTGTTTTTAGATTTTAGTCCCTTTGAAATTGATCATGATTGATGTGTATGATCAGATATTTTATAGGGTTAGTGTGTTTAAATTGTCTTATTTATACCTGAACAGCAGTTCAGGTATAAATATATAAAATATAAAATAAATACCTGAACTGCTGTTCAGGTATATTTATACCTGAACAGCAGTTCAGGTATAAATAACAGGTTTTATTTCTTTTGTAGAACATAACACGAGAAGGATGCTAAATATCTGCTTTTTTTCCCCACATAAAAATAGTTCTATTTAATTGATTCTACGTCCAGAAATCGGATAAAGACAAACAGAGGAACTCTATTTACAGTGATTCTATTTTTCTAGATTTCCACACAGTCTATAAGTAAATTAGTACAAACATTAATGTTTGTAAATAATGCTGGAATCTGGCTGTTTATTTAGGATACTATTACATTACAGATAAGATAGTCTTATATTGTTTTTTTTATAATTGTTGAAAGTGATTTTATATTTGAATAAAAGCTCATTCTTAGTGTTGTGATTGTAGATGATGCCACTAAAAAAAAAAGACATAAGGAGCTATTTAAACTGTCAGACATTAAGCAATATAGGATGATGATGAAAGGTTGTTACATTTAATCCTTTAATATTATAAATATTTAAGGATTACTATAGTATACTGTCGGGATTACTAAAGAATTACTATACTATAACTAATGATTATTCTGCAAATTAATTAATCTGTTTATTTTTTCAATGAATCAAATAATAATCAGATCAGCCAAAGGTTCCTTAAAGAAGATTTTTTACAAAATGAAACCAGGTGAAACAAACGTTTCCTCTTGAGGAGATCTGGATGGAGAATATTGACAAAAACTTTTTTATTTTTTTTATTTTAAATGCAAAATCTTTACATACCGTATTTTCACGACCATAAGGCGCACCGTACTAAAAGGCGCAGTCTCAATTATGTGTCCCATTTCTGTATTTAACACACACATAAGGCGCACCGGACTATAGGGCGCATTTTTTATATACAGGTACATGTCCTCTACTACCTTTAAATACCTCTACTGCGTATTTAAAAATACAGCGGGGGCAAAACTGAGTATGACTGTGCTTTATTCATGTATTTATTACAAAGTATTAATCAAACCTGCGAGCTGGCCGTGAGACAGACACATTGCAGATGACACAGCGCTGTGATCACTCCTAAATTAACTTAAAATACTGAAACCTGCCGACGGAATATGTTCGCTTTTATTGCCGGTATCCTGGTGCCTGCAGTTTAAATTATTTAGATGAAAAACACCTGCCAGCCGCCGCGGTGAGGCTGCTGTTGAAGGGATTTCTACTGTCGGTGCACCGCTGGTATGTGGGGGTCTGAGCGCCTCCGACAGAAATAGATAATCTGGATGAACTGACTGCAATTAAGTTTTCAGCTGGACTTTCTCACTTAAAAACATATTAAAACTACTTTATTCCCACTGATCACAGCAAATATAGCTGCAAGATTTAGATAATTTAGATGAAAAAACACCTGCCAGCCACCGCGCTGAAGAGGAGGAGACCCGCCCAGAGGCTGCTGTTGAATTAAGTTTTCAGGTAGAAAAATAGAGCGGGAGCAAAACTGAGTATGATTGTGCTTTATTCATGTATTTATTACAAAGTATTAATCAAACCCATCAAAGTCCTCATCCTCTGTTTCTGAATTAAACAGCTGCGCTAAAATCAGACATGCCAATTTCCCCTTCTTCGCTGTCAGAGTCACTTTCCGTGCAGCGCAGCTCCTCAGAAATAATGCCGGCTTTTGCGAAAGCTTGAACAAGAGAGCCAGCAGACACGTTAGTCCAAGCATCTACAATCCATCCGCAAACGGTGGCGTAACTTGCCCGGCGCTGCCTTCCACTTATCCTGAAACTGTGGTCTCAGTCTGTCACCCATCGCTCCCACGCCGCTCGCAGCCTTACTTTGAACGGCCGCTTCACACCGATGTCGAGCGGTTGAAGTTCCTTTGTCAGACCCCCGGGATAACGGCGAGCACAGCGTTCATTTGATTCACCTTTTTTTTTCACATCGGCTGTGAGATGGGCACGCAGCGATGGTGATGCGTGGAAAAAAACACCTGGTCTCCTCACATACACCTGCCTCAGCCACGCTTTCATCATCTTCTCATCCATCCAGCCTTTTTCATTTGCGTTAATATCATGTCATCAGAGCGCTGTGTCTGTCTCGCTGTCAGCTCCCAGATCAGCTTCTCTGATTGGTTGATGCGGCGCGTCCACCAGCAAAACTTCAATTTTTCCATCTCGAGCAGCAGCAGCGCGTTGGCGGTGCGTCAGATGCTTAAACGCTCCCGAAGTGCTGCACCTGCAGCTCAAAACGCGCTGCAGGACCTTTTGCTGCACCTATACGCGCGTCAACCATTGACTTTGCATGTAAACTCGCTGCTTCTGCTGCGCCTGCTGGGTCCGGTTCACACCGATGTCGAGCGGTTGAACAGCGAGCACAGCGTTAATTTGTTTCCCCATGTTTTTCACATCAGCTGTGAGATGGGCATGCATGGAGTTACATATTAACAGCGATGGTGATGAGTGGAAAAAAAAAAACACCTGGTCTCCTTACATTCAGCCACTCTTTCATCATCTCCTCAATGAGGTGGTCTCAAAAGTCGCAGTTACAACACACATAGGGCGCACCGCACCATAGGGCGCACCGCACATTTTGAGGAAAAAAAAAGACGTTAAGTGCGCCTTATAGTCCTGAAAATACGGTATTTATTCAATCTTGGTATAATTCCTGCTCGAAGTGTGTCGCTCTGTCGGCTAAAGGCACATTTTAGTGGCCCTATACTCCGGTTAATGAATAATCAGTTACTAAATTGACGATTATTTAAATAATCGATTAATATGATTAATTGTTTCATCCATAGATAAAATAAATGAAATGGGCGACAGAGTAACTACAGCCCAGATGTACAACTTGTATAGTGAAGTTAATATTTTAAATGCTCAGTGTCAGTTCCTCTTATAGTTCCAGTACTCATGGAAATACAGTATTTATTTGCCGTCCCTTTAATGTATTTTTTTTTGCGTGATACAGAGAGAGCAGATTAGATAAAAAATATGAGTGGGTTTTACCTCTGTTTACTTCTGCACTATTCTATTTCTTCAAAAGAGAACACAGGATAAATCCACATATAGCAGGAATATTTAGACTATATTTGGTTAGATAGACACTGGTAAGTTTAAATGCAATCCTTTTCAAAGTGGGAAAAAGTCCTAATTCCACATTGATCAGAGCCAGTGATGCTTTAAACATTAATAAACAGCATCTAGTTCGTGTAGGGCTAATAAGATTTGTATTGATGTAGCAAGAAATGCTGCTGTTCTCTTTAAACAACATGTGCCCTGATGCTCACATTAAGCATAAAAAAGATCATGCATATTTTTGCAAAGGACCAATGACATCAGACCAATAAAACTGAAGACCAACAGTGTCCCTACCAAAGTTTGATGAAACCAATGATGAAATCGGGACACGGCAGCCAATCACGGACTGGATGGAGGAGAAGATTTTTCACTTCAAATGGAATCCAGAGAAAATAATATTAACAAAGCTAGAAATAAGGAATGCTCTTGAGGTGGCTTTAAAGAAGCCGTTTTAATTTAGTCCTAGAAGGAGCGTTGATCATCCTCCCTCACCTCCAGCACAGAGCCCGGTCTGTCACTGCCCACTGCCCAGCATCAGGGCTTTCTGAGGGCTCTTGACAATTATCCAAAATATGCTGTTCAGAACGCTTCAATCCAGGTATCGACCCTGAATCTACGAGCCGCCAACGCCTGCTGGAGCTACGGTCACAAAATGCTTCAAGTACAGCCACTCTTGAACGCTTAAAAAGCTAAAGAGTGCTACGGGCGGATTTAAAGAAAACAACAGTGGGCTCACTGACCAGACCAGGCTGGAGGTAGCGATTTGCAAGACGGACGAAGCAAGGCTATAGAGGGGGGCTAACGGCAAAGCTAAGGCGAAAGAAAGAGGAGCTGGGGGGGGGGGGGGGGGGGGGGGTGAACTCTATACCAGGCTATCTCTGAGCTACAATCTGCACACAGAGGCTGTTTTCATCATTGCTGGGGATTTTAACCAGGCTGACTGGAAAACTGCTCTCCATCATTTCTACCAACATGTGGACTTTGCAACTCGTGTTGAAAACATTTTAGACCTGGTTTAACATGAAAGATGCATTCAGAGCAGCCCCCCCCCGCCCCCACCTCGGGTCATCAGATCATCTCTCAGTCATGCTTATCCCTGCATATAAGCCCCAGCTGATCAGGGCTAAACCGACAGTTAAAGAGGTCAGAGTGTGGTATAAGGGCGCCATGGAGACACTCCAAAACTGTTTTGAATGCTCTGACTGGAACATCTTCAAGGCTGCAACAACATATTACAACTTATTAAATATTGATGACTGTGTCAGCCTATATTAACAAATGCATTAAGGACATCAGCATCAAAAAGAACATCACCACCCGGGCCAACCAACCACCCTGGATAAATGGAGAGTTTCAGAAAGCGTTAGAAGCGCCGAACTCAGCTTTCAGGTCTGGTGATAAAGAGGCTCTGAGAACAGCGCATGGCGACTTAAACCATCAGATCATCGAAGCAGAACCACAGCCAGAAGATCCAGGATCTTTTCCATGATGACAGCAACACCAGGAGGATGAGGAAAGGCATTCGGATGATCACAGACTACAACACCCCCTCCCCCCCGGTAGATGCAGCAAACACTGACTTCCTAAATGAACTGAACAACTTCTTTGGAAGGTTTGAGGCACTAAACAGCCTCCAGCAGTAAAAGCTGTTCCACACCAGGGGGAGGAGGCACAGCCTGATCCTGAAGGTGGAGAAGACCAAGGAGATCATGGTGGACTTCAGGAAGAAGCGGCCTAACCACGCTCCACTGCTCATCAACAGCTCAGCTGTAGAGGTGGTCATTCATCACAGACACCCTCACCTGGACTGGAAACACCACCTCACTGGTCCAAAGGGCCCAGAAGCGCTTGGACTTCCTGCCCCCCCCCCCATCCTCCCCACCCTCTCCAGAAGCACCATAGAGAGCGTCCTGCCCCCTCCATCCTCCCCACCCTCTCCAGAAGCACCATAGAGAGCGTCCTGCCCCCCCCATCCTCCCCACCCTCTCGAGAAGCACCATAGAGAGCGTCCTGCCCCCCCCCATCCTCCCCACCCTCTCCAGAAGCACCATAGAGAGCGTTCTGACCCCCCCATCCTCCCCACCCTCTCCAGAAGCACCATAGAGAGCGTCCTGCCCCCCCCCATCCTCCCCACCCTCTCCAGAAGCACCATAGAGAGCCCACCTGCCCCCCCCCCCTAGAGAGCGTTCTGAGCAGCTGTCTCACTGTGTGGTGTGGAGGCTGCAGCGCCTCAGACTGGAAGAAGGTGAGAACAGCAGAGAGGATCATGGGGGCTCCTCTTCCCTCCATTAAAGACATTTCATCCCAGCGCTGCGTGTCCCGAGCCCGTGACATCATCATTGACCCCTCACCCCCCCACCATGGACTGTTCTCCCTGCTGCCCTCTGGGAAGAGGCTTCACCAGCATTCAATGCAGGACCAGCAGGTTCTGCAGCAGCTTCTTCCCCACCGCCATCACACTGATGAGCTGATGAGAAAATCACAGACTCTGCATCACACTGAGCCTCTAACATCTGGAACAGTCTTCCTCTGCACATATGGGAGAGTCCTACACTGATCAGCTTTAGAGCTCAACTCAAACTACAGATGAAAACAAACCAGTCATGTAACCACTAAACTCTTAACATTTCCTTGTCATGCTTGTATTGTATGCTATGTTCTTTCTTATGTATTTGCCTGCCTAGGGTCTATGGATGAAAACTAGCTTTGTAGCTATAATCCGGCATATTTACATTTGTTTTTATACTGATGTTCATTAATGTGCATTGTCCCTATTCAAATAAAATAAAAATGAAAAACACTGATAACACCAAACCCACAATGCTGCAGATCTGCACCATAGATATTAATGCTCTGAACTTCAGGATCAGTGCGATATTTTGCACCATGTTTTTTCTCCAACACTGTTTACATTTGATCACTGCTGCACTTTATGGATGGAAATTTAATGAAAGTACAAAACCAAATTTAGTTTTATTTACACTCTGTGTTTACAAAATGTCCATAAATGTTGTCCAAGTGTAAGTCTAAGTCAATGATGAGCAAAATAAAATGTTAGGCATTCTTATTAAAAATAATAGTTTTTCCCCCGTTTTATGTTTTTTTCCTTGTCGGTAGTTCTGTGTCCAACCAGTCTGGTTAAAACAATCTAATCTGAGAATGTTTCTACTGAGGCTATATTGATAAAAGGGCAAACCAGCACAACTGCGTCACTTTGACCACAACACTATGTAATAGTGTAACATGGCGACTTCCAAAAGCCAAAACCGCATCTGGAACCAATGACCTTTAGTCTGACAGGAAAACTCCAACACCACTAAGGTTTTCTCAAAAAGTAATACTACTGAATACTAACAAAACAACCAGAACCAGCGGCTGGGGCAATTTCTGTTCATTCTGATTGTTTAATCTAACCAATATCCAAAATGACACGGAAAGATTTAAAACCACTAATTGACTGCTTTACCTGTGCTGGAAAATGATTGCAGATCTAGAGTGCTACCGACTAACTGTTGGGTCTCTGTCCTCACAGCCTGAGGAGAAGAATAAGTTTGATGGGATCTTTAAAAGTCTTGCTCCTGTCAAAGGCCTGCTGTCAGGTGAGAAGGTCAGACCTGTCCTCATCAACTCCAAGCTTCCTCTGGACGTCCTTGGGAAGGTATTTATGGTGTTTCTCATTACTTTGGGTTGTAATCGGTTAGGAATGGGTATTCTAGCGAAAATATTTCAATAAAAAAGTCTGTTTAGTTATTTATTATAAACGGCAAAGACATAAAAAGCATTCTTTTCATTTTTTTAAATAAATTTTTTAGGTGAACAGTTAATATTAGTAAAAACATTTATGCTTAAGTTAGTCAGATTTAAAAGCCATTAGCTTAGAGCTGCCATTGTTGAAGTTAAACTGAGGTATTACTTTAAGGTTCTGGCCCAACTGCCTTATTTGTTTCACTAACCGCTTTTATCAGTTTTTATCTTTATTTGCTTTAAATGTTCTTTTATTTTATTGTTTAAATCATGTTAAGCTTTTTGAATTGTCCTTGTACTGAATTGTGCTCTAGAAATAAACTTACATCACACCATCCAAAGTGGGATGGATGCCGTCTCTCCGAATCAGACCAAACTAAAAGATCGACCAATTATTAATGTAGCCCACGTTGTTTTCAGGACACCACCTAGACAACCAGCGACTGTTAAAGTGCTTTAGATGACATGTGCTGTGAATTGGAGCTATAGAAATAAATTTGATATCATGTGTGTAAATATGTCACTAATGCTTTTTTTTATTTTTATGAATATATCAGGTTTGGGACTTGAGTGACATTGATAAAGACGGCCATCTGGACAAAGATGAATTTGCTGTGGTGAGTGACAATGACTGCTTAGTTATTGAACCTAGAATTTAATATTTGTATAAATACATAAATACATAAATTACAGTGTAGCATAAAGGATAATTTTATTGCATTTCTTCCATATCATAGTTTAAAGTTAAAAATTAGGGAAGCCTGTATCTGTGTGTAGAACCTCAGAGTCCAGAATGTTTCAGAATGTGCTGAGGGCCCTGACCACGAAATGCCCTGACAGTTAGAACTATAATTACAAAATTAATCCTCCAGTGCAAGGAACCCAGAAGTCTAAAAAACAGATGAATGCTCTTTAGTTACACAAAAGTTGATTCATTTCCAGTAAAAAACTATTCCTATTCTTGACTTAACTGACATATATGGAAATATGTCAGGAGTTTTTAAGAAACTCAGACAGTTCATCTCTGAACACAACACACCGATAAGTTTCAAACCCAGCAACACACTCTAAGAAAAACTGGTTTATCCCAAAGACAGGGCACCAAAACCAAAGCTGAGCGGATTTGTTCTGCTGTTTCCATGAACCGGATGACTGAGAATTCACAAAACTAACTTTAGCCGCAATAAGCTTCAACGTAGCCGTGACATGAGTCAGCGTTGCAGTGACAGGACTCAGCGTTGCAGTGACAGGATTCAACGTAGCCGTGACATGAGTCAGCGTTGCAGTGACAGGATTCAACGTAGCCGTGACATGAGTCAGCGTTGCAGTGACAGGATTCAGCGTTGCAGTGACAGGATTCAGCGTTGCAGTGAAAGGACTCAGCGTTGCAGTGACAGGACTCAGCGTTGAAGTGACAGGACTCAGCGTTGCAGTGACAGGATTCAGCGTTGCAGTGACAGGATTCAGCGTTGCAGTGACAGGACTCAGCGTTGCAGTGACAGGATTCATCGTTGCAGTGACAGGACTCAGCGTTGCAGTGACAGGATTCATCGTTGCAGTGACAGGACTCAGCGTTGCAGTGACAGGATTCAGCGTTGCAGTGACAGGACTCAGCGTTGCAGTGACAGGATTCAGCGTTGCAGTGACAGGACTCAGCGTTGCAGTGACAGGATTCAGCGTTGCAGTGACAGGACTCAGCGTTGCAGTGACAGGATTCAGCGTTGCAGTGACAGGACTCAGCGTTGCAGTGAAAGGATTAAGCGTTGCAGTGACAGGACTCAGCGTTGCAGTGACAGGACTCAGCATTGCAGTGACAGGACTCAGCGTTGCAGTGACAGGATTTAGCGTTGCAGTGACAGGATTCAGCGTTGCAGTGACAGGATTCAGCGTTGCAGTGACAGGACTCAGCGTTGCAGTGACAGGATTCAGCGTTGCAGTGACAGGACTCAGCGTTGCGGTGACAGGACTCAGCGTTGCAGTGACAGGATTCAGCGTTGCAGTGACAGGACTCAGCGTTGCAGTGACAGGACTCAGTGTTGCGGTGACAGGACTCAGCGTTGCGGTGACAGGACTCAGCGTTGCGGTGACAGGACTCAGCGTTGCAGTGAAAGGACTCAGCGTTGCAGTGACAGGACTCAGCGTTGCAGTGACAGGACTCAGCGTTGCAGTGACAGGACTCAGCGTTGCAGTGACAGGATTCAGCGTTGCAGTGACAGGATTCAGCGTTGCAGTGACAGGACTCAGCGTTGCAGTGACAGGATTCAGCGTTGCAGTGACAGGACTCAGCGTTGCAGTGACAGGATTTAGCGTTGCAGTGACAGGACTCAGCGTTGCGGTGACAGGACTCAGCGTTGCGGTGACAGGACTCAGCGTTGCAGTGAAAGGATTAAGCGTTGCAGTGACAGGACTCAGCGTTGCAGTGACAGGACTCAGCGTTGCAGTGAAAGGATTAAGCGTTGCAGTGACAGGACTCAGCGTTGCAGTGAAAGGATTAAGCGTTGCAGTGACAGGACTCAGCGTTGCAGTGAAAGGATTAAGCGTTGCAGTGACAGGACTCAGCGTTGCAGTGACAGGACTCAGCGTTGCAGTGACAGGATTCAGCGTTGCAGTGACAGGACTCAGCGTTGCGGTGACAGGACTCAGCGTTGCGGTGACAGGACTCAGCGTTGCAGTGAAAGGATTAAGCGTTGCAGTGACAGGACTCAGCGTTGCAGTGACAGGACTCAGCGTTGCAGTGAAAGGATTAAGCGTTGCAGTGACAGGACTCAGCGTTGCAGTGAAAGGATTAAGCGTTGCAGTGACAGGATTCAGCGTTGCAGTGAAAGGATTAAGCGTTGCAGTGACAGGACTCAGCGTTGCAGTGACAGGACTCAGCGTTGCAGTGAAAGGATTAAGCGTTGCAGTGACAGGACTCAGCGTTGCAGTGACTTGATTTAGCGTTGCAGTGACAGGATTTAGCATTGCAGTGACAGGATTCAGCGTTGCAGTGACAGGACTCAGCGTTGCAGTGACAGGATTCAGTGTTGCAGTGACAGGACTCAGCGTTGCGGTGACAGGACTCAGCGTTGCGGTGACAGGACTCAGCGTTGCAGTGAAAGGATTAAGCGTTGCAGTGACAGGACTCAGCGTTGCAGTGACAGGACTCAGCGTTGCCATGACAGGACTCAGCGTTGCAGTGACAGGATTTAGCGTTGCAGTGACAGGACTCAGCGTTGCAGTGACAGGACTCAGCGTTGCAGTGACAGGATTCAGCGTTGCAGTGACAGGATTCAGCGTTGCAGTGACAGGATTTAGCGTTGCAGTGACAGGACTCAGCGTTGCAGTGACAGGACTCAGCGTTGCAGTGACAGGACTTAGCGTTGCAGTGACAGGATTTAGCGTTGCAGTGACAGGATTCAGCGTTGCAGTGACAGGACTCAGCGTTGCAGTGACAGGATTCAGTGTTGCAGTGACAGGATTCAGTGTTGCAGTGACAGGACTCAGCGTTGCAGTGACAGGACTCAGTGTTGCGGTGACAGGACTCAGCGTTGCGGTGAAAGGATTAAGCGTTGCAGTGACAGGACTCAGCGTTGCAGTGACAAGACTCAGCGTTGCGGTGACAGGACTCAGCGTTGCGGTGACAGGACTCAGCGTTGCAGTGAAAGGATTAAGCGTTGCAGTGACAGGACTCAGCGTTGCAGTGACAGGACTCAGCGTTGCAGTGACAGGACTCAGCGTTGCAGTGACAGGATTTAGCGTTGCAGTGACAGGATTTAGCGTTGCAGTGACAGGACTCAGCGTTGCAGTGACAGGACTCAGCGTTGCAGTGACAGGATTTAGCGTTGCAGTGACAGGACTCAGCGTTGCAGTGACAGGATTTAGCGTTGCAGTGACAGGACTCAGCGTTGCAGTGACAGGACAGGACTCAGCGTTGCAGTGACAGGACTCAGCGTTGCAGTGACAGGACTCAGCGTTGCAGTGACAGGACAGGACTCAGCGTTGCAGTGACAGGACTCAGCGTTGCAGTGACAGGACTCAGCGTTGCAGTGACAGGATTTAGCGTTGCAGTGACAGGACTCAGTGTTGCAGTGACAGGATTCAGCGTTGCAGTGACAGGATTCAGCGTTGCAGTGACAGGATTTAGCGTTGCAGTGACAGGACTCAGCGTTGCAGTGACAGGACTCAGCGTTGCAGTGACAGGACTTAGCGTTGCAGTGACAGGATTTAGCGTTGCAGTGACAGGATTCAGCGTTGCAGTGACAGGACTCAGCGTTGCAGTGACAGGATTCAGTGTTGCAGTGACAGGACTCAGCGTTGCAGTGACAGGACTCAGCGTTGCGGTGACAGGACTCAGCGTTGCGGTGAAAGGATTAAGCGTTGCAGTGACAGGACTCAGCGTTGCAGTGACAAGACTCAGCGTTGCGGTGACAGGACTCAGCGTTGCGGTGACAGGACTCAGCGTTGCAGTGAAAGGATTAAGCGTTGCAGTGACAGGACTCAGCGTTGCAGTGACAGGACTCAGCGTTGCAGTGACAGGACTCAGCGTTGCAGTGACAGGATTTAGCGTTGCAGTGACAGGATTTAGCGTTGCAGTGACAGGACTCAGCGTTGCAGTGACAGGACTCAGCGTTGCAGTGACAGGATTTAGCGTTGCAGTGACAGGACTCAGCGTTGCAGTGACAGGATTTAGCGTTGCAGTGACAGGACTCAGCGTTGCAGTGACAGGACAGGACTCAGCGTTGCAGTGACAGGACTCAGCGTTGCAGTGACAGGACTCAGCGTTGCAGTGACAGGACTCAGCGTTGCAGTGACAGGACTCAGCGTTGCAGTGACAGGACTCAGCGTTGCAGTGACAGGATTTAGCGTTGCAGTGACAGGACTCAGTGTTGCAGTGACAGGACTCAGCGTTGCAGTGAAAACCTTCAGCGTAGCCTCGACAACCTTTAGCGTAGCCTCGACAACCTTTAGCGTAGCCGTGAAAACCTTCAGCGTAGCCGTGACAACCTTCAGCGTAGCCAAGACAACCTTCAGCGTAGCTTTGACAGGTTTCAGCGTAGCCGTGAAAACCTTCAGCGTAGCTGTGAAAACCTTCAGCGTAGCTGTGAAAACCTTCAGCGTAGCTGTGACAACCTTCAGCGTAGCCGTGACAACCTTCAGCGTAGCCGTGAAAACCTTCAGCGTAGCCGTGAAAACCTTCAGCGTAGCCGTGAAAACCTTCAGCGTAGCCGTGAAAACCTGCAGCGTAGCCGTGAAAACCTTCAGCGTAGCTCTGACAACCTTCAGCGTAGCCGTGACAACCTTCAGCGTAGCCGTGAAAACCTTCAGCGTAGCCGTGAAAACCTTCAGCGTAGCCGTGAAAACCTTCAGCGTAGCCGTGAAAACCTGCAGCGTAGCCGTGAAAACCTTCAGCGTAGCTCTGACAACCTTCAGCGTAGCTCTGACAACCTTCAGCGTAGCCGTGAAAACCTTCAGCGTAGCCGTGACAACCTTCAGCGTAGCCATGACAACCTTCAGCGTAGCTTTGACAGGTTTCAGCGTAGCCGTGAAAACCTTCAGCGTAGCCGCGACAACCTTCAGCGTAGCTCTGACAACCTTTAGCGTAGCCGTGAAAACCTTCAGCGTAGCCGTGACAACCTTC